CAGGGTGGTCCCGTACACAGCACGGACACGGTTGGCATGCAATGCAAGAGTTGTAGAAAATCCGTGGTGAGGACCGCAGCAGCGGTCGTAAGAATTAGCCCATGGAGCACCTGACATGTTGGGTTGGGTGCACCATACCAACTCTGCATGTAAATAATAATAAATGTGTACCTTCTCAGAAACGGATTGACCATAGGGAGCTCCATACAAAGCAAAAGAATGAGGAAGAGTGAGAAAAAGTAAGACGGCGGCAGGCAACTTGGTCACAGGTTCACCCGATCCTTGTGCCTTCTTGGAGGTGTTGGTTTTCTTTAACGACGGGCATCTTGACAAAGACACGCACGTCGCTTCACCCGTCCACTGGGACAAATGGTGTAGCTAGGCGCTTTCCCTTTCCACTAAACATGGTGTAATGTTGATGTTCCTTCAGACTCTCATCGTTTGTCTTTTTCATCTCCCTGTTCGCACCAAATCAGAGCCATAGAGTTATTACAACGTATGCTAGAAGTTCAACTGATGCTAGTGTCTATGCGACTTTCGTGGCGCAAATTGAAGCAGACAGCAACCAGACTACTTTTGCTGTGGTCCTGTGCACTTTTATGGGTAAACGCACATGCATTTTGTCTCTTTGCCGGAAAAAAACATGGAACACTTTCGTTATTTAAGTCATACCGGATAGTATGTACATTGATTAACATTATAAAAGTGTAATTGCTATAGTTAGCACAATTTTCTTGATCAGTGAACAATGTTTAACTTTGCTATATTTCAGGCCCAAACCTGTGTTCCACATTAGGCATGTAAAAACAAGCAACAATTCTAAGAAAATAAGAATCGAAAGGAATATAGTGTGTTCAAGGTCTGCCAGAATTCTAGTGACGCTTATATATTGCTAATACGCCAGTCCTGTCACTATTAAAATGACCCCTTTGTGCATCTTTACGAGCTGTTAACAACATTAAAAACGTAAAGTATAAAGTATGTAGGCTATGAAAGGTGACGTTTTTTTTTTATTTTCTACGCCTGGCAGTTTTTATTAGGCCCTTGTTCTCAAAGATTTTGAGCATGCGGGTGCCGTTTTGAACACAAAACAAGCATCTTAGCACAAAGCAGAAAGAAAGCAGCACTTACATATCCAAAAACGGATGCATTACGTGGCCTTCACGCACAGGGAGCTACTGATCCAGCGCTACACACTCTCAAGAAAAAGGGGTGTCAAAAGGTGTATCGTTACACCCTTTGTCCCATATAATACACCCCGAAACTTCAATTCGACATACAGCGCCCTACAGTCAAACAGACGGCCCGAAATTTTACGAGGGCCTTGATAGCCGTGTGGTGCAACTTATTAAAATAGCTAATGTACGTTTTACTGAACATGAAAAAAATAATCGGGGTTTTCTTGGACCTACTGTAAAAACTCGGTGTTTTCTTTATGTGGTCTTTGATACGTACTTTAGCTATTTAAAATGTTGTACCACACGGCTATCAAGCCCCTCGTAAAATTTCGGGCCCTCTGTTTGACTGTAGGGCACTGTACGTCGAATTGAAATTCTGGGGTGTATTATATGGGACAAAAGGTGTAAGAATACACCTTTTGACACCCTTTTTTCTTGAGAGTGCAGCATAGCTCTTGTAGTCTCTCTTAGTTTTTCAAGTGTCCTTCATTCGTTTGGCACGTACGACCCCCATGCTGGAAAGCGTCAACGTCGTGTCCGCACCAACAATGTCCGACAGTGTACATAAATATATCACTGAAGCCGTTTTTAATGCGGCGAATTTGAAAGAAATACGCCGTAACTGACCAATCATTTTGTCTGCCTAACCGAGAAACATTCCAAGCCATCTAGTATGTGGGAATGTTTCAGGATATTTGCTCTTATAGCTGAGCACAGAAAGAAGATGCACTCACTTTTTCCCATACAAATGCATTACCGGAAGTAATTTTTTGACTGGTTGCAGTCTGCTTTAATTTGTGATAGCACATTAGCACCAGTTGAACCTCTAGCATACATAACTTGATGATCAGAGCTCGGTGTTCCGACGTCCCCCCCCACACGTTCTCGTCTCCTCCTCTCTCTCCTTGGCACATAGGTTCGAGAGCGCTTTGAAGTCTCATGGACCTTGAGCGCACACGCGTTGCCAAATCACGCAGGAAGACATGGAGCGCGTGCTGCAGGCTGGGCAGACACGGAGCAAGAAAATACTGGGAACACCTAACCATCGGAGAAAGTGATATCTCAAAACAGGTATCAGATAAATACATGACTGTGAAGATGCCTGTGCAAAGGAAGACGAAAACACTTGGAGTAAATATCAGTATCAAATATTCTAAAACTTTCTTCAATGCAGTTCCAAGGGGATTTACACTGAATTAAAAATGGGTACATGTCAATTTATAACAAAAGCTACTGAGCAGTGCAAGAGATTCAACTAGCGACGTCCCAACCGGTAACAGGAAGTGTTGCGGTGTATACACAGACTCGGCAATTAGTTCCCCACCGAGGAAGCTGCAAGAATGAGGTCTTAGCATGGTACAGGACGTCAAAAGAAAAATCTTGGAAAAAGTTACTTCACACTACTTCAGGCCTATTCATACACATGCGTTGGACTTTGACCGACTGAGACAAGATCGGTTTTTAAGCCTCTTGTGACCGCTCACGGCTGGCTGCACAGCACTGGAGAGTCGTAAGCCAACACGAGACTTAAAAACCGGTTTTTAGCCTCTCTGGTCGTAAGCGGTCGCAAGTGTGTGAATGAACGGTTACTCCAGTACCAAAACCCGCAGTGGCTGAAAGAAACAATGTAAAAGTTAAAACTGCCAATTTTTTTCTTTTTATTCAGCAAGATTGAATTCTGCTCACACATTAACTATGGCAAGTTTGCATCTTACTCTGCCCTGACAAAAACTAAACAATGTCTCCTATTCACTGACCCAGCCTCTAGACCACAGCTAGAGAAGAATCATTTACTACTCCCCAATACATTGAGTGATGACAAACGGTGGCATTTGGACGAGGCTCCAGAGCAAGGCTAAATACTGTATTTGCACGAATATAAGGCGAGGGCAGGTTTTGATGCCCTCAGAAAGAAAAAGAAATATGATTGCTATTATAACGCGTACCGAGGCCGCGTCAATTTCTCGCACTTGGGGCATAGCAGATTTGAAAAGCCAAGGGAAATAGAAGAAATATCAGTTTATGTTTTGACTACACTTATCTTCACTGCTCAGGTCCTTCCGTTTACAATCCATTTGGCGACTACACAGAGAAGCAGCAGCACGGCACCTGCTTGTCTGGTAGTTCCTTTTTCTTCCCTGCGAGCTCCTCGGCAGCCCACAATCCAAACAAGGCACGAAGCAGAAGCACCAACACACAAACACCAGATCAACTAAACAATGCGCAGGCAGAAAAAATACAGCTGAATCCGATACATGATCACACTTCTTGCTCTGGTCCCTCTGCATGAACAAATGCCTCATGTTGCACGATTGCGTAAATGCATTTGGTGGTTTTGGCTTGTAATGACCTGACTTGGCCCGGCTTGACTTGGCTCGAATTGGCCAATGCCGCATTTCCGCATGGCGCGCGCCGAGTTTCTGCGGCGTGCGCACATTGTACAAACACAAAAGCGATAAAAATGCTTTTTTATGTTTTCTATTTGCCCCTTCACGTGGCCCAATAGCTAATAAATTCCCTTCCACACCCCCACTTCTTTTCGCACCGGATATTTTGCATTGAGACGGAGGGATGGCTTTTTACTCTAGCTTTCTCCAGACTCGCGCACCTCGTGGCTGAACTCGATTCCGAATAAAACGCGAGATGCGTTTTGGAGCTTGTAATTTTGAGAAAAAAACTCGCGTTATATTTGTGCAAATACGGTAGTCTGGCTTTGTGTGCACAGTCTATATGGCCAACCAAGCTGGAAAAGCTTCTTGGATAAATCAAACCCGTTTATATCGAACTCGCAAAAAATATGTCTACAAGTTTGATATAGCAAGTAATTCGATATAAAAGTTTTAATGAATTTGCCAACAAACAAGCATGCCACATTTAGAAAAGTTGTTTACTCTCAAAGAAGCGTCTGTACATCATGAGGAACGTACCACATGGTTATTCAGTGCTTGCTTCTTTGTTTTTCAAGATCTTTCAAGATCTCACCCTCTCTCTCCCTGCTCCCTCCACAAAAGAGAAAATTTTTTTCTTTGGAAGAGTCTCCGCGGCCGCTCAAAAGACGAGAAAGGCAGCTTGCTCTGAAAGCTGGCATTGCCCCATTGCATATGCAATGGGGCAATGCCAGTTTGCAGAGCAAATCGTTGCTCTTGGTAGTTCAATCTATTGGGAGGCACTGCAACTTTCATTCAATCTAACCACTTTTCTCGCTATGCATTTTCATTGCAGCTAGTAGTCTGTTCAGAAATAGTCTGATACAAGCATTTGATATAATCGGGTTTGACTGTATTGCTGGAATTTGAAAGGCCTACTTGCTTCAAGCTTTACACAAATGCCCTTAGGGTTTGTTAACCTCGTGTTAGCATGTGCCCGATGAGACAAGACCATTCAGAAAATGGCCTGGGACGCTGCTGGTATTTGTGAGGCTTAATGCGCATAAGCGCTTCAGTGTGGCGAGCTTAACTATTTATCCGAGCCAAGCCTTTGGGACCTATGTTGCACTCAGGTATATGTATACTTCGATTGAAATGGCATAAAGTTCTGCACATGAGTTAAATGATCACACAGGGCAGGTTCAACTTACGGGTCCACCAGAAGGCATTCTGCACATGTGCATCTGGTTTTTGTGGATAAACTCCTATTTTGAGCAAAGCTTTTGGGGCTTTGTTTGCACTTGTAAGGTTTTTAAACACTGCATTTTATGATGGATGAAACTCCTATTATAAGAAAAGGCCTTGGGGCACTGCTTGCACTTAAATGGCTTTTCACCTGTGTGCGTTCGATAATGCCTTTGCAGATTGACACTTTGAGAAAAGGCTTTGGGGCACTGCTTGCACTTAAATGGCTTTTCACCTGTGTGCAAATGATTATGGCTTAGTAGATGGGAAGCTTGAGCAAGGGTTTTGGGGCACTGCTTGCACTTAAATGGCTTTTCACCAGTGTGTGTTCGATTATGAGTTCTCAAATGGCAATTTTGAGCAAAGGCTTGGGGCACAGCTTGCACTTAAATGGTTTTTCACCTGTGTGTGTTCTATTATGGTTCCGCAGATCACGATTTAGAACAAAGGCTTTGGGGCATTGCATGCACTTAAATGGCTTTTCAACAGAGTGTGTTTGATTATGGCGTTTCAGATTCGAATTTTGAGCAAAGGCTTTGGGGCATAGCATGCACTTAAATGGCTTTTCACCAGTGTGTATTCGATGATGGATTTGCAGAGTACAGTTTCGAGAAAAGGTTAGGGGGCACTGCTTGCACTTAAATGGCTTTTCACCAGTATGTGTTTGATTATGAATTCGCAGATGGGAATCTCGAGCAAAGGCTTGAGGACACAGACTGCATTTGTAAAACTTATCACTCTTGTGCTTTTGAGTGTTGCTGAGCACTTGGGACTTAGAGCCAGACATGGGAGGATGCTGGGACTTGAATTGTTCATCACCATGGACAGCCAGGTGGCTCACAATTACACGCTGATCTCTGGTGACATAGGTGCAGGAACAGCATCCGAACCAGATATCCTTTGTGACTTTCAGCGCGCAGCTGGTCTCCCCTAACAATGTGGCTCCATCACCTAGAAGAAAAGACCATATATATTGATACACAAGGAAAGCAAAACCAGGATAGTCACTTATTTTGGAAAAAGTAGTCATAATGCAATTTGGCCGCAGCTGTAGTTTAATATTTTGCTGCGCTTTGAAATTCGATTCACAGAAGCACTCAAATGCAACTGGCACCATTAACAACCCACAAATTTTTTTAAATTGTTTGCCAGGCAATTTATTTTGGTGTCTGAAGGCTACTTAATCAATATTTTGCTACAGCGTCACATATATTTTATTAAAGTTAAAATATGCAACAACTCGAAACCGAAACTGGACTGGGGAGGATGAAGAAATATAGAGGAGAAAATTACCAAGTCACTTGGCTGTGCAACTTTTTTTATTGTTGCAATGAACGCATTTGCAGTTTTTTAAATGCCACAAAAAATGGGTATTGTATTTGTGTGTATGCCTTCGATGACCCATGGCTGATTATCTTTGGTGTTTTTCTCTAAACCATAGAAAACAGTACGTGACAATGAAGAAAGTAGGCGCGACTCAAGCCGGGCAGTTGGCGATAGCCGGTTTTCGGGTAAGAAGAAAACAAACTTCGAGCAGCATATCTTCTCACTTTGAAAACTTTATCTGTTTTCTAAGAATTTTCTTCCCTTTTTTTGTTTGTCACAAGAAAATGTTTAACCATAGTATCTTTGGATTTAGAATCGGGATCTCAATACTTTTTAAGGGCTGGATACCTCATTATTCAGGGATTGAAACAAAAACAATATTTCTGGAGATTGTTAGATATTATGTTTTCTCATTGGCAATGACTAATCATGGCAGGTCAGTTTGAAAGTCTTCCTTCAAGTTATCAGTAAAATAATTTTAACATGTGATGCAGTCATATTTTGCTGATATGGACGCCCCACTATATAGACACAATTTTTGGTAAAAAACCTCCCCATGCAACTCTGCCTCGTGAATATTAAAAGAGGCTGTCCAGACTACGGGCAGCTAGTTTTGGGAACTGGGTAAATACATGCAGGTTGGTTTCATTATAATGGACACAGAGGTCCACTAAAGATAAAAAAAGCTTAGTTAAGACCTTGGGTTACTGAATTCACCGAGGGTTTCTCTGCTGTCTACTATTGGCTGTGCATCCACCAAAAGGCTTGAGACCTTGGCATCGAACGATGGCTCAATCTATTGGGGCCTTCCAGCCAAATGTGTAAGCTTTCCTTGTCTCCTTCTGTTATAATGTGCTTCAGGTTTGTCACCTGAGGCCGCTTTTCTAGCTTGTCTTTGCTCTTCCGCTATGCACATTTATGGACAGCCATGTTTTGGTTGAAAATAACTCCGGTAACCATGGGCACACCACCTTGGCAAGGTGATAATTGCAGAGGAAGCACTTAGCTGCCTCAGGCCAAGACAGGAGTCTTAAGAATAAATAATACAGTGCTAAATTTGAAGATACAGATAAAATGAGCACTATATGTAAAGAGGAGATAAACAATTCAACATGTGATTCTAACATGTAAGGAGCTTAGTGCCGCCCTTCCCAAAGGGGTGAAAGAAGTGCCGGGGGCCCTCAGTTTCGCTGGAAGAGATGGCAGTTTGGATTACAGGATGGAATACAGTAAAGTAGATGGAACAGAGAGGAGGTTAGAGTGCTGGTGAAAATCATCCAGGGAAAACAGAATTAAGAACAACTAAGTAGCACAGCTGGAGGAAAGGAGGAAAACTGGGACTCCCTCCCTCGTGGCTGTGGCCCAAGGTCTCAACCCTGTACCCCAGTGGGTCTGGTGTTAGGGCGATGCCAACAGAAAATTGACGACTCTCTCCAAGGGCGGAAGAGAAAGGTGGAAAGTGTTTTTATTTCTTTTCCCCCAATCTCTTTAAGGTCATCCCAGCAATCACCCCACGGTCCGCTGATATTTACAGAAAAGCATTGGCCTAAAATTCATTTTTTATAAAACCTTTCAGCCCCCCCTCCCTTTTGCCTTCCTTGGCCCTTGACACTCTTCAGCAGTGGGCTATCTGGCCCCCACACTAAAATGGGTTCGAGACTCATGATCCACACCATGTAATAATAATCTTTACTTGGACTCCTTGAGTCCTGGGTGGAGAAGCAAAAGGTAAACAGATTTACGTGAAGAGGCCCCTCCACCCTTACACTGCTCAGCAAAGAAACAAAACAAGAAAAACAAATCTTATCAGACAATGTTTCACTGTGCAAAATAGACACGAAACAGGCCAAGAATAACCACAGTTGAACATTTGGCCTTTGCAACCAGTTACGTCTTCCTATACGACGATGCATTAAAAGCCCACCTATTCACATGAAAGAAATTTAACAAAGTTGTAGGAAATCAATTGAGGCTTTTCTAAATAGTTTGTGAATGGGAAATGAGTGGATGCAGCAGCTCACGTTGCTTCCTCAACTGCGTGCATCTCGTGTCTGAGTGTTCAAGCTGGTCGAATGCTACCACCAGCTTCTGAGTGGGAATTCAGAGGGCTGGCTGTTTGTCAAGGAACCTTATGCCCTGATGTCATCCCTGTTTTTAAGGAGGCTTCTTGTTCGTACTGCCACTTCTTTCGCCGAATCTTTTTGCTCTGTTCTTAGCCGTTCCTGCGGGCGATTTCTGCTTGTTATGTTACGTCTTAGCGGCCATAGTCTCCAAGTGCTTTATGGCAATCGCGCATCAAGGTTATTGACTCCCTGCTCACTCAAGCGCATTGTGGTGCTGAACGTGGCATTCACTGGTGGCCATAGTTTAGTCGGTTCCTGCAGAGTGCGAGCTTACGAATAGCTTCCACAACATTCATTGCACACCACCAAGATTGTAGTCCTCCTCAGAAGATAAGTGGGGCTCGTTCTGAGCCTACATTCATTGTGGCAAACTCCGTTTTTGGGCGGCAACTTTATGAAGGTGTGGTAATATTTGCTACAAATGCTTAATATCTGCAAAGCAGGAAAACAGCAGGAACTTCCACCACGCTCATCCACTTGCTTCACAGATCACCGAGCACTGGTTGCAGTCGTCGGTGGCATCCACGACGCAAACCACGTATAGCTATGAGAAGTAACAAAGTCGTGCCTCTGTCCTAGGGTATGTGCGCACACGACCGTGCTACAGATATCGCTTTCGTTGATTCGCACATTGTGGGTGAAAAACACAAGATTCTTTATCCTGGATTGATTAGGGGAAATTAGGGGAAAAGAATTTGGTTCGAGCAAACCCTCGAGATATCCTGCCTAAATTATAAGTAAATTTACTCCTCGTTTTATTGTTGTTGTTTTTGTCACTTTCCTGAGCCCTTCTTACCATTTCTCCAGCCATCTCTTAGTACAATTAAACTTTTGGAAACCACTTATTCCTTCATAAACCACTCTGATCCCAAAGCAATGAAAAAGTCTGCTTCAGTGTAAGTATATACCTACAATGCCCTGCTATTACCTTTGCCTGTCCCCATAGTGTACAATTTGTATCCGTCTCCTCAGGTCCTGACCGATGAGCCTTGGTCCTCAGTACCTGTCTTTGCCACACAGAAGCAAACATTTTTGAATTGTGAAAAAAGTTCTCTTTTCTTAATACAAATTTTCCTGCATAGCAGGCTTCTTTTCCAATCTCGAACTCCCTCATGTCTTTTTCAGCTTCCTTGACTGCCCTCTTAACTGACATAGTCCTCTTCATTCTTTTCCAGCATTAGCCCAGTACCTGGTAAACAACCCACTTATTATTTCCTACTGTCGCACCTCTCATGTAATGGCGACGAGATGTTTTGGTAGTGCCACCTCAAGGGCGCCCTCCTGTGACGCAGCTGGTAGGATGCGAGGAGACGACGCACTATGTCAAAGCACAGAGTGACTATGTTACTTCACATCTACGTTGATTACAAAGTGTATTTATCAAAGAAACGTGTATGATGTTTTTGTAAGTGATCTTTGTAATGAATAACAGTGCTTTGAAGTTGCTTTTAATATTAAAAAATACCTTACAACGTTCAAAAACAAGCATGGAACTTCACATTACAGCTTGTGTGGCGTGCATCAAGGCTATTCACAGCGTTTCTGATTCTTACTTTTCTGGGTCTGTGAAGGCTGCAGTAGAAATAGATTTTGCATTCATTAAAGTAAATGACGTGCTGTTTTTTTAGCTTTGCACGTGTGCACAGTTGTGTTGCAAAGCGCCGCACACTTGTTTTAGCTACATTAAGCTTGCCGATACCGATGCTTCTATCCAGGCGTAACTCGACAGTCGCTGACGAGCAAATGCTCATCAGCAAGAGACGCTTAGCTCCTTTTATATTAAATATGTAGCAAAGAAGTTTGTCACATCGCAACATCTGCTCGAAGAAAAGCTGAAATTTTCATAAATTCTCAAAAGATGCTGGACATAGCCCGGCGAATTTAGCTGATTGATCTATTTGTTTTATCCAATTTTTACTAAGAATTTTTACAAATTCACAATCTCTCACTGAGAAGTGCGTCACGCATTATGCACATTTGGTGCACAAAATTAAACATACAACGGTAGTAATTCATAGGAGGCGTATACTTCATTTTTTGGGACACAGGAATGTCACCGACTTACTACACTTAAAGGGGTTATGACACGAAAATTAAACAGATAGATTATTCTTGAAATGGAATGCTCATAGGCTACTTAGTATATACACCAAGTTACGCAATTTTAGAGCTCTGATAATTGCAATATTCAATTTACGAATTTTTATAATTTTCATCTGCCGACCAGGCAACACTGCTCAAATTAGTCACACCATGGTGTCCATAAACCACGTGACCATGAACACTCTCTCATTCTAGGCGCCCCCATGATCGCCCAAGCTCTTCTCGTCGCGGTACAGACAAAACCGCTCAAACAGCTCGGTAAAATTAGGGAGTTTTCGTAGATCGTTTTCGCCGTTCCGCAAGGCCCTCCGCAATCCGCTACAATAGCGGGAACTCCACAGTGAAGGCTATCGGCGCGCAGGCGCAATAGCAACTTCTTCGTTGCGAAAGGCTTAGCGGAGGGGGCAGCGCGGTCTACGAAAACTCCCTATTCTCGCTCTCGCCCCCCGGCCGGTTGACCCTCCACCCTGCATGCGCCTGCGAGATATTCCCGGACGACGGTGACCACGGCGAACTCGTCGTCGCTGGAGCTCGTCGCCAGCGGGTCGCAGCCAAAATGAACAGCTTCCAACATCTCTTGATAGCAATCACTCTCATCGCTGCTGCGATCAATGTCGAACACTTCGACAAGGCGATCGATGCCGTAGACGTAATCGTCACAGACCAGATGCTGGAAACGTGGAAGCTGAGAGAGAGCCGAATCTGTGAGTGCGTGCAAGTAGACACCGCGCTCGAGGCTGGCTACGTCATCAGCCTCCAGGTCCGCCCGGATCTGCCCCTCCGAGGGGCCCTCATATAAATCGATTTATCCACGAAATTATGGCGCCTTTTTCAAAACAAATTTATCAGGATTATAGAAACATACAATGGGTCCTAGCAGTATAGTTATGTAATATTTTATTTTTGGCATGTCATAACCCCTTTAAGACTTCAAGGGAGAGGGGGTCTCGCACGTTTCACATCGGCCAGGTAAATAAGCAGGGATTTAATTCAAACGACTCCGGAAGTCAGCCACCGCTTCTCCCTGCCAGTTATTTTGAGGAATGTTTGTTTACTGGTTTACAAAATTCAAAATGGAATCAAGTCTGAACTAATAAGAGACCAGCACTCACAGAACACGTTGGAACCAACAAGATCCACGGAGTCGCTTTCATTGGAGCGTTTACTACATACGCAAGAGACACTCGAATTTCGCTTCCCTATTTTCAGTTTTGTGAGACATTCCTTGCTCAGTTTTATTTAGTATGAATCAGAATAAAAAATACAGCCTATCCACTGCAAGAAGTTGTAATGGGGCAAAGTGCTGGATATTCCATGTTCATCTTACTGTTTTCTGTACTGAAGTAGTGAACAGCACGCCACTATTCGAGCGCTTCGACACCTCAGCACAAAAGCGTTTGTCAGCATGACTACGCATGCCACGCTTTCAACCTTTGGTAAAACGTCCTACTACAAATATTACTACCGTATTTTCCGGTGTATAAGTCGCGGTCTTTTTCAAAAAAAATTTCTGGTGCGTCTTATACAAAGGTGCGACTAATATATAAACTTTTCAGTCAAAACGGCTTGTCTTCGTGTTGCGCCATCTATCGTGGCGCACCGTAACTACGCAGCCATAGGTGCCGTTCTTCCGGTTTCCCCCAGGGGGCGCTGCTAATATCTTGGCTATGTAACAACAGTGTAATTCAAGAGAATTTGTGGGGCATACTGGGTACATTAGGGGTAGAAGCTGGAGTAACTAATCTTTTAAAAGATATATATAATAGCAACAAGGTGCTTATAAAATGGGAAACAAATGTATCGGAGGGGGCTTAGACAAGGCTGCCCTTTGTCGCCTTTGTTATTCATCTTATACTTACAGGGATTGGAGAACAAACTAGAGCGGAGCGGGTTTGCCTTCAACCTTTCTTTCATCAAGCAAGGTGAATGGATTAAACAATCACTACCGGGGCTGATGTATGCAGATGATATAGTGCTAATGGCCGACAACAAAGAAGATTTGCAGAAATTAATGGATATCTGTGGTACAGAGGGAGATAAACTAGGTCTTAAATTTAGTCAAGAAAAATCGGCAGTGATGATTTTTAATGATAAAGATGGTGGCGAGCATAGGATACAAGAGGTCATGTTGGAGGTAGTGGATAAGTACAGGTATCTTGGGGTATGGATAAATAATGGTGTTGAGTATCTAACGGAGCATGAAAAACATGTAGCGATGAAAGGTAGCAGGAATGCAGCCGTCATGAAACATAGGGCTCTGTGGAATTACAGTAGGTATGAAGTGGTGAGGGGGATTTGGAAAGGGGTCATGGTTCCCGGCCTGACCTTCGGCAATGCGGTCCTGTGCATGAGACCAGATATTCAAGCAAAGTTAGAAATTAAACAGCGGGGCGTAGGTAGGCTTGCTTTGGGAGCTCATGGAAATACGCCTAATCAGGGGGTACAAGGCGACATGGGATGGACGTCATTCGAGGGCAAGGAAGCTAGCAGCAAGATAGAATTTGAGGAGCGTTTGAGGGAAATGGAGGAAGAGCAGTGGGCTAGGAAAGTTTTCAGTTATTTGTACATGAGGAATGTAGATACCAAATGGAGAAAGCGAACTAGAAAATTATCAAGCAAATATTTGGGCGGCAGTGGGGGCACCAACCAGGAATTACGGGTTAAGAAAAGGATAAAAGAAACAGAGAAGGGTCTGTGGGAAACGGGTATGCAGACAAAACCAGCACTGGAGACGTACAGAATGTTCAAACAGGAAATTTGCAAAGAAAATATCTACGATAATTCTAGGGGAAGCTCTTTGTTGTTTGAGGCCAGGACAGGAGTATTGCGGACTAAGACGTACCGGGTTAAGTACCAGGAGATGGACACTTTATGTAGTGTGTGTGGGGAGCAGGAGGAAACGGCTGAACACTTAATACTTTTCTGTAAAGGGCTTCACCCAACAGTTAACAGTGACCGGGCAGATTTAATCAAAGCATTGGGTTTTAAAGACAGTGAAGGAAAAATAGACTTTACACGGGTAGAAATAACCAAGCGGAGGTTATCAGACTGGTGGCTAAAATCGAGGCAGGGGTGAGATTTAATCTTGGAATTCAAAACATATAATTAGATTTATAATGTTGGCTAGGTGGCGCAGGCCGCCGCCCGATTCACAGGGTTTAGCCAGATCCATCCATCCATCCATCCTATCTTGCCTTCCCCGTTCTGGCGTCTGGCACTGTACTGGCAGCTCTGGCCAGTGGCTCTGGCCATAATCGCCTTTGTTCCTGACTTGTTTCGTTCACGTCAGGCTCGTTTCGACGTCGCGCGCCCGACCGAGTTTTGAGCATGCCGCCACCGGTAAAGCGGAGAATTTATACCGCGAAGCAGAAGTTATCTGCAGTCAACTATGCGATTGAAAATGGCAACCGTGCTGCCGGAAGGCATTTCAACATCAGCGAAAAGATTGTCCGGGACTGGCGGAAAGCTGCGAACGAGCTGCGTTCTATGAAGAGCTCTAAAAAGGCTGACCGCGGCAAAAAGGCGCGATGGCCTCAACTAGAGGATCGACTGCGGACGTGGATACTCGAGCAGAGAGCAGCGGGCAGAGGACTTTCTACTGTGCAGGTACGGCTGAAGGCGCAAACATTGGCACAAGATATGAACATGGCTGACTTTGTCGGCGGGCCGTCTTGGTGCTTCCGCTTCATGAGACGGCACCAGCTATTCATCAGAGCCCGCACAACAGTCTGCCAGAAACTTCCAGACGACTTCAAGGAGAAGATGGCGAGTTTCCAGGCATTCGTCGAAGAACAAATTCAAGCCCATGATGTTAGGCCTAACCACATTGTCAACATGGACGAAGTCCCTCTGACTTTTGATATCCCGATGGGCAGGACCGTGGCCGAGAAGGGCGAAAAGACTGTCAGTGTAAGAACGACCGGCC